TGGATTTTGAATTTCAAATGTGGTACATTTTTTCCTTAGTTTTGGTGTATTTAATGAAGTATGATTTTTAGAAAATTATTTTTATTATTATGCATGAGGGGTAAAGGGTGTCACAAGCTTTCAATTTAAATGACTTAGGAGAAACTTTCTCATGCCTTATCATATAAGTTTTGCAATATGCTTCAAATTGGCCAATGTACTCTCCACCATTATCAATTCTCAAGAAATTTTGGTTTTTTCTAGATGCTCATTCTACAAAAGCATGAAACTCCTGGAATTCTTGGAGAATTTGATTTTTCATCTTCAATGGATACACCCACAATTTTCTTAAGTGATCATCAATGAAGGTAATAAAATATTAGACACTGCCAATGGACTTTTCTAATGTTGAGCAAACATCTGAGTGAACAACATCTAGAATATGTTTTCTTTTTCTTGCATCATTTGGTTTATTGAATGATATTTTGTGTTGTTTTCCTACAAAGTAATCTTCACAAAATTCAAGTGGTTGCCCTTTAATGTTTGGGAGATTATCTTTTATGAGAATCTTCAAACCCTTCTCACTCATATGGCCCAACCGTATATGCCCCAATCTTTGGATGCATCTTGAGCAACATTCATATCCCCTCTACATATCTTTCGTTTCATGATGGTCAAGAAGCCTTCCTTTTTTCCACTAGCAACGATCATGCTTCCTCGACTAAGTTTTTGTTTTCCAGCACCAAATTGGTTTATCATCTCAACTTCATCTAACTTGCCTGCAAAAATGAGATTTAAGCACATCTCTAAAACATGTCATACCTCTTTTAGTACAAGCTTGCTTTCGTTCTCAATCATCATAGTTACTTCACCAATGCCAAAAGTATTGCTTGTGACATGGTTTCTCATCTTCACCGTACCAAAGTCTCCTTTTTGGTATAATGAGAAAAAAAATCTTCATGAGAAGTTACATGAAAAGATGTTTCTAAATCAATTGTCCAAATGCAATCATCAGATGCAACATTTAGATAATTTTCTTCTCTAACAAGAAATATATTTTCATCATTTGAAGCCAATGTTGTGGTTGTTCCATCTTTCTTCATCTTCTTTGGGTCAATTTAGTTAGGGTGGATTGTTTCAACCTATTGATCTCTCTTCAAGAATCTTCATTCAAACATATTATCGCCCAGTTTACCACAATAATAACAACTTAATATAGTGTGAGATTTGGATCTACCTTGTAATTTTCAACAATCTCCTTTTCTATGATTATTAAGCTTTCCTTTGTTTTCAACAACATTAGCTTCAAACCGATTGTTCAAGCCTTTTTTCCTATCACCTAGCTAGCTTCTTCATTCAACAAACTATCTATGACAGAATCCATGTTGAGTTTTCCTTCTAGAGCATCATTGTTAAGAATGATCACTAGAGTGTCTCAACTCTTAAATAAAGAGTTAAGGAGTAGAAGAGTTTGCAACTCATCATCTATCTTCAATTCTACTTTTGTTAGTTGGATGACAATATCTTTAAAGGAATTTAAATGTTTAATCATGTTATGGCCATCCATGTACTCCAGCTTTGTAAATCATCTAACAAGCTTTGTTTTTTGGAATCTTTCTTTGAATCAAGGATTCAAGCTTTGTCCACAACTCATATGCATTGGTATAAGTGGGCACATGCTCGAACAGGGTTCGATTAATATATTTTTTAATCATGGCTACTATTTTCCGATTTTAGAACTCCTAATCTTTGTCAATCTTTCCCGTCCGATTTATCTTGTTGAGTGATTTGTTCATACAAATCCTTGTCGTATAAATGGTCTTCTATCATCGACTTCCAATATGAGTAATTGTCAACAATTAACTTGAACATATCTCCATCATGAGTGACAGCTCCCTCCATCTTGTGTTACACAAGTTGAATGGTAAATTAAGAATTGTCGTAAAATGGAACAATTACCATAATTCGTGAATGGGCCAGAAAAGTTCTCAAGAAAGAAAGGTGGGTCAATAGACAATCTTAAGTACCAAGTTTTTCCTTAGCCAGAACTTTTCAAGACACACTTCCACTTTACCACATTTTATTTCTAATAACAAGAAAAATCCTTTTCTTGTATGGAAGATTATACAATGTTACAACCATAAAGCATATTAAGAATTTTCTTATAAATACGATACCTTAGTATTGAGAGCTCTAAGAGCTCTGATACTACTGTTAGAAAATGTCATCATAATTTTCCTCATCTGTGAACTTAAAATAGGCATTGTGCGGAAATGTAGAATAATAACATCAAATATTTTTAGTGTAAAAAACTCACTCAATGTGAATAGGAAAAAAATCACTAAATCCGTAGACCTCGTAAACTTCTACTATATCATTAATGAGAATACAAAATACAATAGCAAATAACACTCAAAAATTGGCACACTAATTTTTCTCTCTCTAAGAGGCTCTATTTGTTTTTCTCTCACTTTCCTTCTCTCTTTCCTTCTCTCAGTAAGGATGTACTTCTTCACTTTGCTTGACACTTGATCCATGGCTTTCGTTCCTCTATTTATAGGAGACGGATTGCACCTGTTAGAATTAGTGCACCAAATGGTGCAATTGGAATTAAAAGAAAAACAATAATTTTACTTCATGCTTTCATATTGGCTTTTACAAGTAAAATGCATTTTTCTTCTTTGCATTTAAGGCACCGAATGAAACCTGTAACATATTTATGTTTTCTCACTAACATTAGCTGGTAATTTCTTGCATTCTCATTTGCATTGGGTGGTAAATTTCCAACCCACACATTTTGACTAGACCCCACAAGAAGAAGGAAAAGGTAGGATATTGTGGAGATGCTTGTGGCAGCCAATCAAGGTAAATAAAAACTATTTATTTGTATGGATTTAGTAAGAAGGTACGTATATAACTTTATATCGCCCGTCAACTCTTATAAGGATAAAATGAGACTTCTAATCATAATTTTATATTCAAATAAAAATCAAATTTTAATCCTTAATTAAAAAATATAAGTATTGAATTATTTATGCCAACAATTTTTGGTAGTTTATGTGACAGTGAGAGCGAGCGTATTATGTATGAGTATGACCGAGGTGAAGAACGAGTGAAACCTTCATGGTGGTTCGAAGAGATAGGTCACTTACTTCTCCCAATAGAAAGGTTTATGGTGGTTCAAAGGTGAATCTTGAGTTTTAAATTTATTAAAATAAAATTATTAATTAAATTTGTGTTTAAAAATTGTCATTATGTTTTTTTTGACAAACAAAATTTTCACTGTGTTAAATATTATCAATATCTTCTTTTTAATATCAATGATTTTGGATTTAAAATAATGGAAGGACAACAATTAATGACTCAAATATAAAATTTCACAAACTCAAATGATTTTTTTTAAAAAAGATAAAATACCAGTCCAAAAAAAAAATCAAAACAAATTATGTGAATAAGATGAAAGATTAAAAATATAATTTAGCCTTTTAAATTTAATAAAATCTCATAAACAAATATAAATTAAATAAGAACGACTATCTTACCTAGAGTGTTTTTAGAGACTATTCCTATGTTTTTAAGAATTTTTGTAACGATTTTTATTTATTTTTATAATTTATGAATTAAATTTTAATTTTTAAAATAAATTATCAATAATTTAAAATAATTTTGTATCACAATATAAATTATTTGTCTGAAATATAAAATATAATATCAATGTTTAAAAGAATTTGTGTATACAAAAAAAAATATCTATATACAAAATTTAAATATAATTTATATATTTAATATATTATTTATTTATTAATTATATATAATAAATATTTAATATGTGAAATACACATACGAAAATAGTTACAAATATGAATTCAAATTAATATTAAGATGAATCAATAAACAATTTATAATTTTTACACGCTTAAGCAATTTATAATTTTTACACGCTTAAGTAAGGTCAGGGGTTCAAATCGTGTCTTGTGTATGCAACCGTGTTAAATTTTGGGGTCAGTTATCCCACCCTTTGAGGTGCCAAGAGACGAACCAAAAAATAAATAAATAAATAAACAATTTACAATTTCTATTTGTATTACAGCTATACACGTATTTTCAACGGAAGGTAATTATTTTTCACAATTCATTATTTTGATATTATATCTAATTATTAGAAATATTGTTCTAGTGATAAACCACTTAAAAGTTCACGTGAAAAAACGTCAAACATTCAACAAGAACTTATGATCCATCCTGCCTCAAGTTAGGTCAAGTCATATTTTTATAAGAAAGGTTAGAGCTTTTAGAAAAACTTATTTAGTTAAAAAGTTAGACTTCAAAGAAATTTTAAAAAAAATAATAATAAAGCCTAATTTATTTATTTATTTATTTAATTAGGTGTATTCTTTATTATTAGCAGTATATTATATTATATTAAAATCATATATTATTTATATTAGGAGAAATCCACTTATTTTAGTAAGTATACATATATTTATTTCACTCAATAACTCATATTTTATATCAAATTTTAATGATTTATCTGTTATACTAAAAGTTTTTAATTCATTAAGTTTACAAATTTATAAAATATTTAAAAATTATTTGATATTTCGTTTTATAAATTCAAATCAACGTATAAAACTATTTTAAATTTTTTTCAAATTAAATAATTTTAAATTTTTTTAAAATTTATAAACTTTATCTATACATTAAGAATTTTTCATTAAAATTAAATAAATGAGATTTTGAGTGATACAAACTTAAGTAAACTTTCCCTTAAAATAACCATATCATTTCATTATTTATGTATATGTAAAATGTCAAACCTATTAACTTGTTAAAAGATAAACCCCTGTCATCTTTAGAGGTTTTAATTTTAAGGCCTAGGTCTACCTATGCCCCCTTATGTCATATATTTTAATTTTATAAAACAATTGAAAACCACGAGCGTTCTGTAGTCAAGTTAATTTTAACCGTAATTTTTAAATAACAATCTGTTAGTTACAAGATGAAAATGCATGACCAATACATTGGACCAATAGAGGCTACAATTCAATTCAGAAAAATAAACTAAACCTTTTCATGAAGGAATATAACAAATGAAAAAAACAAAGATGGGGAGAGAGAGTGAGAATATAACATTGTACAAGATAACTAACACCAAAAAATGCCAAGTGGCATAAACACTAACCATAGCTTTGTAGCTTTCTTCATTAATAAATAAATTAACAACATAGGAAACATTAGGTAAGTGACAATTGTGCAAAACTCCTTTAACCTCCCTCTCTGCCACAGTTGCAATGATCAATTGAGCCAAAACATCATATTACAGAAAGGTACTGCATAAGGCAACATTTCAACTTTTCTGATTTAGTGATCATCGTGTTGATGTGGAATTTCCACCAGTAACCCAATACTGCTTAACAGCAACCAGCACCTTCTCAGGAACAAGAGGACCATCCTCATGATCAACCATTTTAGTATCCCATCTCATCCCCCCGACTATTTTCTTTACCTTAATCAACACATCAACTTCGTCGCGGAATATGACAGCGCCTTCAGGTCGAAGAATCCGGTCCATCTCCAGAAGAATATCTTCTGTTTTGCATCTGCATTTAATTGTCACACATGCTTAAGGCAGCAGGAAATGAACACAATTTCTGAAAAAGGAAAATTGGAACAAAATAACAAGTGTTTATGCTAATGTTATGCTAAGTCCTATATGTTATGTGCTACTCAACGCTAGCTCTTCATGAAGCCTGTTTTAGACATCAAAAGCTCATTTTTCAGGCACAAAATTGACTGCTGAATGAAACAATAACAGTCACTGATAATAAAACAGTCATAGCACTCTCAATATAAGATGTTATCACCAGCTGATTACTCACACAGCATCACAAAATATCAAACAAGTTATGCAACAGTTTAAAACATGTAGTGACACAATATATAATCTTGTTCCATATACTTGTTACTTGCAAGCCTTACAATGATCAGAGTTAAGACCGAAAGGCACATTCAAGCACAGGTCAATGTGTTTTAACTTTTAACCATATAGCAGTTAGATTCGACACAAGGTCACACTGCCCATTGCAACACTAGGTGAAGTTGTTTAAGCCTACTACCAATTTTTGAGGTCATATTATCTAAACTATAATCGCAAGCTAATCTGGCCAAAAATAAAGATTATGAAGTGACTTCAGTTTCGATTATAAGTTAACGAGACATATAGTTGAATTCGTGATCAAAGAAAAACTTACTTATCCTGGTACAGACTAAAGAGACCATGGGCATGAATGAGATCATATGTTCGTGGATATGTTGAAAAGGCTTCACACCTGGGTGGAAAAAGAACAAAGGAAAAAATTGTGACAAAACTGACTACTAAAATTTAAACACTATGCTTGGTTAGTCACAATTCAATACAGATAAGTACATTATATGGCATCAGCTGACAACTACATAACTCACATCATACTATAAAGCAATTGAGAATTTATTAAATAATAGTAGTATTTGATTTGTTCAGACATAAAATGTATTTCAAATTCAATACTTTAGATTGAGAACTGACATGAATAGAATAGTATCAAGAAGTTACGAAACCATACCAATCATGATAGATGCCAATAAGTCCTCGCTCATATATCACACCCAGTGTATTTGTCTCAGCGATAGTAGGCACAACATTCATGACCCATAACTTTGAAGAGTGAATAGCTGCAGCAAAACTACCCAATCCAGCATTCATATCCATAATGTTGCGATACCTTCCCGAATCCAACAGTCTATTAATTTTCTTGTAAGCATTTACATGTTTTTTCCACTTTTTGTTATCATCTTGGTATGTCTCAGAGGAAACTCCAGGAACTGAACCACTAGCAATTCTGGGAGGAATGGCATATAACCTGCTTGGAAATGGTTTAAGATTTGCACCAGAAGCTTTAGGACTAGGAGTAATGCAGGCCTCCATTTTCTTATACCTGTAGCCACAGAACAAAACCATTCCAAGTCAGTACACCACTTGTTTCTTAACAAAGTTAAGCATTGCTTACATTTATAGGATTTTCAAAATCAAGACAAATAACAATTATGTAACAAATGTGTTAATAAAAGGTTAGTATCAAAACTAGACAATATCAGCATTTTATCCAACCACTTTAGCTTTAATATGTACATGTATGTTTGTTTTAATGACATTTAGAAAGAAATAAAAGGAATATCGACAATATACTGTTAAAATGTAAAATTATCTAACAAAGAAACAAAGGGCCATACACACCAGACATCATCGGCATCTGAGGACTTGCAAAATTCAACACTTGAATCATCTTGTCTCCTTAGACATGATTCAGAGTCTACAACCTTTTGCCAAATTGCCATTTCAGACTTCTCTGACCTCTTCTCCCAGCAAAGTTGCTTAGCAATCTCTTCAATCTTTCTTTGCTCTTCCTGCAGATCTTCCTTAGGTCTCTTCCAGGCTTGGTAGTTAACCTTCCAATTGATTGGAGGACCAGAAAGCACCCAATAACCACCAGGCCTTAGAACTCGATCAACTTCCATCATATAAATTCCATCTGCAACCAAATTGCAATTTTAAACAGCTGGTATCACAAATAAAATAATACAAGTTGACAAATCAAACACAAGCAAGAATGGGAAAAGACCATAGATAAGAAGCTAGTGTTGAATGTGAAGTTCTTACTATTTGCTCCCCAAGGAATCAAACAACGAGAACAATGAGCCATGTCAAATGCTCTAGAAGGATAAGGCAACTTTATGGTCCCCAAAACACCAATGACAGCAGGGACACCCCTTTCAAGAGCAAACTGTACTTGTGCTTCATGAGAGTCCCTTGGTGCAAACGACATGGCAATAACATTTCTACTCCAAAGATATGCACCCCAACTGGCAACCTGAGCAGACAACATAACATAAGAATAAATGGCTAAAAACTAATGATGCAAGCATGCAGCTATCAGATTAGCATGTATAAGAATGGCAAAGGATATTTGGCAAAATTCATCTGGAATTTGAGATGACAAACATACCCCACAACCGGTGTCTAGTGCTGTCCTCACTGTTCCATTAGTTATAGGTATCACAGAAGCAATTTGATCAATATATTTATCAGCACCTTGAGGAAATTGTGTTCCACCACCAGGGAACCGGAACACATTTCCCTCATATTGGATCCAATTCTGAATTGCCTTCTCAACCGTAAGGCTCTTGTAGGGTGCATTAGCATATGGAACATAGTCACGGCTCTTCGGCCACGGAAATGGTGTTACATACCCCTTGGGGGCAGGGATCATACAGTGTAACTTCTCTTCCTCTCGTGGGCAGTGTCTCTCTCTATAAATCATATTATCTCTGGGAAAGGTCATGGCACGCCGTTGATCTTGACAGGGAGTGTAATCAGTATAGCGAGCAGCACATGGTTCAAATACCTTAGGCTTTGAATCAGCATCATCAATTTTGCTAACTTCTCCACCATGGTGGGAATCAAAACTTAAATTTGGAATTATATTACACTCTGCGTTAGTTTTGGTGATCTCCAATGCTATGCTATCTCCCTTTCCAAAACCACTTCTCTGCCACGCGCCTAATATATAGAAAAAACAGCACAGACCAACTACTATAAAGATCTGCATAGAACTTCTAGTCCTACCATCAGCTGAACTTGTTTTGGCCATCTAGAACCTGAAAAGGGTCAATTCTTATTCAGAACTACAATACCAAGGTTGTGACCCATAACATCCACTCAAGATCTAGCATAAAAATCTCATGCCAAAGCATGATACAAGCTTATAATGAAGAAAACAGACAACTTACAAGTTTATAATACACATAAAAGAATTATCAAACTCTTGATCATCAACTCATCAGTTTATTAGAATTTTAAGTAAAAAGGTTTCCAATTTCCATAATTGAGAAGAATCAGGTCAAATTACTTTCAATCACCACCATGCAGAAATTATTAATTAGAAATTCGGAGTAGTTAAACAAGAAAAGAAAAAGAAAAAGAGAGTTGTAAAGTGAGCTTCAGATCTGCTCAACAGTGTCAAACATAAGCTTCATAAATTTCAATTCTTTCGCTTAGCTCTACATCAAGGAAAACAAAAGCATTTATACACACCCACAACATCACAAACGTTAAAAAGACATATAGACATCTTAACTAATCTAGTAGGTGAAAGGAACACGAACTTTAACTACCTACTTATGAAAAAAAAAACACGCAAGTTCCACAAACGACCAAATTAAGAGCTATACATGAACACCCATGAAAGCTAAGTAAACAATAACAACTTCAGGCACACAGTGAAGCATAAAAGACTCAACCTTGGATCCCAAGAAGAAAGAAGGGGAATTCAAAAAGAGTAAGAAGAAGATGAAGAAGAAGAAGAAGAAAATAAAAACATTTAGAAGATGGGTGGAAAGATGAGATCTCCTACACACCATATGAAGTAGGGGTTGAGCAATGGTCGGAAGATCTGGGATTCCCAAGAAAGAGGAACGAAAGAAAGAGAAAATTTTTGATGAATGTATTTATTTTTCCGAGCAACCAAACAACGATTTTTATGTAGGCTACACTATGAGAAAAGAGTGAGAAAGAGTCAATATAGGAAGTTATGCCTATATATAACGAAGATATTCTATTTTAGTGTATAAACTATAAAGTATTTTTAACAAGTTTAACTCTTAAATCTATATTTATATATATAAATAATTTTTATTTTAATGTACACTATACTTTTAATAAATTTAATCTTTATAATGAAAATAAAAGAAACTATACAATAATAATTAATAAGATTATAAAAAATCTTAAATTTAAAAAATTATTACTAAATAATAACAATCATATATTAGTCAATAATTGTCATGAAGTGTCTTTGTTTTTATTGGTAAAGTTTTTTATCAATATCACATGTTAGATAGAGTCAATATATAACAAAATTTTCTCTCATAATATTTAACATAATTATAAACTTAAAATTCAAACTATTAATTAAGTTGAAATATTTTTTTATTGATTGATTCAACACGTGCTCATCAATCTACATACATATTATACTATAATATAATATAGTACTACAATAATATGAAATATTTATCAAAAGTGATTAAAACAAATAGTTTGTCATTTGTGTTCTTTAATTAAAGATTGAGATTTTATTTTCAGTTTGGATATGAAGTTGTGGCTAAAAGTATTATTTTATACCTAATATAATTATACCAAAAATAATACTATGAAATATTTGTATAAAAAAAAATAATACAAAATAGTAAGGAAAGGTAGAAAACTGAAAAAGAAAAGCTACCGATTTGGGTGTTCTATTGGGAAAGCTAGGTTTTATGCATTTTTCTTTTATTTATTTCCTTAGAAAATAGTTTATGTAAAATGTTTTATACTAATATGAAAATATTTATTTTCTTTTATTTATTTTCTTAGAAAATATTTATTGTAAAATATTTTATTTATTTTTCTTTTCCATAAAATGTTTTATGGAAAAGTTTAGAGAAGCCGTGGCTCCCCCTGTCATACTTAAGGTCCGTCACTGCCCATACCTTATACTCATTCTTGTCCCTAAAGGTACCAAACTCGATAGGTCAACCCGGTTCATCATGGGTCCAGGCCGGGTTAAGCTAGTAAAAAAGAATTTATATTGATTTTGACTCAAATTCAACCCGACTTACCTAACCCGTGAGACAAATGATTTGAGTCTAAGTGAGACCACATGTTTTATGTAGTTTTTATTTAAAATTTTGATTGATATTTTCTTATATATTTACATTTGAATTAATGATAGACTTGATTTCTTGATATATAAAATTAGAACTTTTTATTTTATTTATTAAAAATAGAAACATGTAATTAAATTTTTTGTTTTTCTTATTTTAAAAAAGTTTGGTGACCCAGTCCACTTAACTTATCAACCCATGATGGATCGAGTCGGGTTCTAACCTACCAGAAAATAAGTCGAGTTGAATTGACCCGTTTAAAGCATCAACCCATGATGAGTCAAATTAGTTCACTTTGACACCTCTACCCATTCCCAGATATGAAATTTTTATCTTATCCCCGTCCTTATTAGGTATTAGATATACTTATAATCGTCTTATACCCACTCAAAAATTAATTAAATGTTTTTTAAAAAAATATTAAAAAATTAACATAAAATAACAATTACAAAATTGCATTAATTAAGTTTCATTTGAAATAAATTTAAAACAGAATAAGAATTATTAAATGTTAACTAAACTCTAAAAAAAATATAAAGTTTCTTAAAATTTAAAGCAGATACGAATACGAGTATAAATATAAGCGGGTATCTATATATCTATTTCCGTTCCCATTTTCGATTCAATAATCGGGTGTTATCAAATAAAATTTACTTTTTTTTACCTAATTTTGTACATTTTTTTTTTCTGTTTTTTCTTCAATTTCTTTCATTTTTATTAAACAAAATATTAAATTAAACAATTAAATTTTAACTTTATTTTTATTGGTTTGTTTTTTTCACCGATCTTTTATCATTTTTTTTTCTTGTCAATCAATCCTAATAAAAAGGTGGTGGATGAGGATGTATGTTTTTGAATGAAATTAAAAATTAAAGGAAGAAATAGTATTCCGTTGGACTTACCTTAATGAAGTGGGGCAAGCAAGCAAGCGTCATGCCACAGCTGCTAGTTACTTGATTGTGCGTGTGGGTCCCACTCACAGCAGAAATCAACCAAAGTATTATTACAAGTAAGTTTTTTTTTTTTTTTTTACATAGATTTTTTTATTTTATTTTATTTTTTACATTAAGTGTTTAATTTGGCGAAGGGGTGAAGCTTTGCTACTCCCATTTGAGATATTTAAGACATGCCAAACATGTAATATGTTATTATGCTACATCAAGTATTATTTTATTTTATTTTTACAGAATTTTAAGTATATATATATATACATTTAATAATATAGTATTTTCATTGAGTTAATCACCCATCTAACTTTGAAGACGCATTGTAAATACTTTAACTTATGATATGTTTGGTATAGGTGATTTGAGAGGAGGGAAGAGAAAAGGAAAGAATCTCTTAAGCATAAGGCTTTGTTTGGATTTGAGAATGGAAAAGGAAGAGTGATATTCCTTTGTAATTCCGCTGAGTATAATACTGTTTAAGTTTATGAATGTGGTACCTTCTATTTAAACATGTTTGGTATTTCAATTTTGAAATAATTTTGTTATTCAATTTTTGTTATTTGTATTATGGTATGTGGGGTAGAGGGTGTCACATTTAGTGGTATCAAAGCCTGGTTGATTCAAACCGGACTTGTGTGTTATGTGCTTATCATGATTTTGTTGTGTACTCTGATGATGTTTTATTTTGTGATGAATGTGGCTGCTTTGTATTGTTAATGTTGGATTAATTGTGTGTCTCTTTTCTTAGATCATGGCTGGTATAAATGATTGTGTGATTGTTGATGCTCTTCAAGCGTTAGCACAAGCTATGAGTAATAATAATAGGGCTGGAGTTGCTCCTAACTGGTTGGAGCAATTTTAGCGAAATCATCCACCTACCTTTAAAGGAGGATATGACCCAGATATTGCAATGAATTGGCTAATGGAGATTGAGAAGATCTTTAATGCGACTGAGTGTCCCCTCGCTCAAAAGGTGAGGTTGGCTACCTTCATGTTGACTGTTGATGCCTATTTTTGGTGGGAAGGAGTGTAGACCCCTAAAATTGTCCGGGTCGGAAATAAAGCTCAAAGACTCTCGATGACCGAAGGAAAGTCAGCCGGAAGGACTCCTGGAAGACCCTAGAATTTTTACTATGGAAATCAAAGAGATTTCCCTTCGACTTGTTCGAATCTCAAGCTAATGGCTCATGACTCAAGAACTTCGTCGGATCGGCTCCCGGAGAGATATCTAGGGCAGAGAATAGCTCAAAAACCCAAGAATACTCAGCAGGAGGGTTGAGGAATGTGTAAAAAGTGTGGGAGGACGTGCCAATGACGTCCTATTTATAGGATTGAGGTGCAATACGGCCTGGGAGGTCAATACGGCCCGTACTGGAATTTTTGTTATTTGTATTATGGTATGTGGGGTAGAGGGTGTCACATTTAGTGGTATCAAAGCCTGGTTGATTCAAACCGGACTTGTGTGTTATGTGCTTATCATGATTTTGTTGTGTACTCTGATGATGTTTTATTTTGTGATGAATGTGGCTGCTTTGTATTGTTAATGTTGGATTAATTGTGTGTCTCTTTTCTTAGATCATGGCTGGTATAAATGATTGTGTGATTGTTGATGCTCTTCAAGCGTTAGCACAAGCTATGAGTAATAATAATAGGGCTGGAGTTGCTCCTAACTGGTTGGAGCAATTTTAGCGAAATCATCCACCTACCTTTAAAGGAGGATATGACCCAGATATTGCAATGAATTGGCTAATGGAGATTGAGAAGATCTTTAATGCGACTGAGTGTCCCCTCGCTCAAAAGGTGAGGTTGGCTACCTTCATGTTGACTGTTGATGCCTATTTTTGGTGGGAAGGAGTGTAGACCCCTAAAATTGTCCGGGTCGGAAATAAAGCTCAAAGACTCTCGATGACCGAAGGAAAGTCAGCCGGAAGGACTCCTGGAAGACCCTAGGATGATTCTTTGTAGGTCTAGAAGTCTTAGAGTAGCTTAGAATAAGGGTGTGCGAGGATTGGAGCTCAATACACCCTCCCAGAGTGTCCTTGCATTTGACCATGTGTTGCATGATATAATGGGGCTAGTTGATCAAAATTTTATTCTTTAAGGCCCATAACAGAAAAATGTCTTCCTGCAAGAGTTGGGCAAAGTTACTTGATCTAGGAGCCAATATATGGACGTAGACAAAATGTAGGAGTCTGTCGTTAATGTTAAGACTTCCTACATTTCTGACATTTCGGCCCTGCAGCTCTGGTCTAATCATAGATGTCAGTGCTATGTGACGGTCGAACTACATCTCCTCTGGGATGTTTGGAAATGCTAATTTATGCCCCTGATACTTCAAACCAGCCAGAGTTAACCAATCAGATGGTTTTATTTTTATCTTTGTTTTGTTCACGTCACTATAGAGGAAACCAACTTCAGATACTCTCAAGTTGGAATAGAAGACCTTAATAAGATCTTCAAAGAAATCACATTTGAGAGCCACAAAATGTTGCAAACCTTGATATTCTATATGGTGGTGAAAATACAGCCCTGATGTGGCAAAGTAGCTAAAGTCCATAACCTTTGGATGAAGGACTATCCTGTGGTAAAACTCCTTGCCATATTTAATCATCTGATCACGCTGGCTGAAAAAACGTGTCTGATTTAGAACTTCTTCAATTTGTGGTAATCTAGGACCAGCTGCTCTGTCCGAGGTGGCAGGA